TGTCTCTAATGCCCATGATTTTTTCACTCATAATATAGTTGTGAGTGCTGTTGAAGTTGTGACTTTTTGGGAAAACAGTTTGTCATTGTATATTAGGAGCCTTAACCATTCTTGTTCTTTTTTGGATTCAATAATTTCTATTCTGGGAACCTATTCTAAGGTGGGAGTAACCCCAAAATAGAAAAAGCCTTATGTTCAAAGATGTTTAGATGAGTAAAAAAATTGGAAATGTGTAAATGTCCATTAATATATTAATTAAATAAACTGTTAAACATCCAGGATATATTTTACAGCCATTGAAATGATAATTATGGCATAGCATGATCTGATGTTAGGTGAAAATGAAGAATATAAAACTTTACCTATAGTATAATTACAGCAACATTAATTAAATACATGTGTAAGGGGGAATACTAGAAGGTAATATATAAAATGCTAACAGTGGCTGTGTTTGAATGTTAGTTAGAACAATGGGAGATTTTTGTTTTCCAAATTTTATATTTATAATAAGAGAGTCACTTCTGTAAGAAAATAGATGTGGAAAGATGAACCTGTTGGCTCTTAGAGTTCCCTTCCACCTTGAGATCAGCCTGTGTTCCCAGGACACACAGAGCAGCATAGATTTTGCTGTGTTTAGATGGTTGGGTCTAGATGGCTCAGTTTCCTGTGAACCTCATTATTTCAGGCTTGGCTTTGAACAATCAGGATCAGATCTTAAAAGCACCCAAGTGGATTATTAAACATTTCTTTTCTCATAGGCGCTGAAGTGGCAGCAGCACCAGGGGTTGCTTCCTCCTGGCATGACCATAGATTTGTTCCGAGGCAAAGCAGCTGTCAAAGATGTGGAAGAAGAAAAGTTCCCTACACAGCTGAGCAGGCATATTAAGGTAGGATCCTTTGACACTCAGCCAGTTGGTAATCATCTGTTGAGGACTCAACATGTGCTTCCTCAGTCAGGCCCTGTGGTAGGCACTTGAGTTATAAAGCAGAATTCATTCTTCAGCTCTGATAACATTCAGGGTTGCTGTTAGTGACCACTGGGTCCTGTGGCCTGGCAGTGGCACACCTCAGTTGTATAACCAAGTGGACATACATTTGACATTTGGCCTGTCATCTGCCTTTGCACTTTCTCCCCAGAAGCCTGCATTTGGAAGAATGATTAGCTCTTTGGTTAAACCTGAGACTAATTATGAACTTTTAATGTATTTGTCTTGTTCAGCATTTGTGTTTTTGCCTGCTGCATGTCAGCCAAAGTACCAGGCGTGGATTGTAAAGTGGGCTTGTGTGGTATTTGAGGAAAATAACTTACCATCTTATGGCTGGTTCTTGTTTGCTTTCTTTTAATCTGAGACTTTTCTAGGAAAAAGCACAATCAAGTAATTGGCAGCAGTTTCCAGAATTACAAGTATATTTCTATTTCAGCATCTTTTTTATATTATAGTTTTTGGGTTTGTGCTCTCATTGAATATATGGATTTTAAAATAACTCATTCCTCAAATCTTTTGACTTTGGCTTAGTGCATTGATTTAGTCTTTTCTGGATTATATGTTTTGACTTGCATTCAAAGATGATTTTGAGCAGTATTTTTACCCTGACTGAAGCCTTGATACAAATAGAAATCTTCTATATATATAAAAGCCTAAGCTATTGTTATGACCGAACGACCAGAATGACTGACCAGTTGCTATGCACACCACCAAGGGGCAGACGCTCAAGGCAGAAGCTGCCCCCTGGTGGTCAGTGCACTCCCACAGCCAACTTCCCATGGCCAGCCAACTTCCTCCAGTCCCTCCCGCTGCCAGCAAACCTCCTGCAGTCCCTCCCCCAGTCTGGCAGGCCCCATCCAGCAGCCGGCAGACCCCAGCTGGCAACTGGCAGGCTCCCAGCCCCAGGCTGGCATGCCTCAGCTGGCGGCAGCAGGCCTGACCCTGATTAGGACTGGGTAAGACAGCTCTGAAAGGCCTTGATCACCAGCCAGGCCTAGGGACCCCACCAATGCACGAATTTCATGCACTGGGCCTCTTCTAGTCCATTATAATTATGCTGCTGGGCTAAGATTTTTGTTACAAACACTTTGCATTTTTGGCATTTAAGTTGAAATTCATAAAAGAGCTTTTCTCTGTTATCTGTCTAATATTTTGTAGTTTTCATCTGTTATTGGGAGCATGATTACTGGTAAGTGCTCAGGATACATTGCCCAGATAAACAGTCTCTATTAGCTTTAATTAGTTCTCCTAGAGTTAGTCACCTTCACATTTTCACTTGGTTAAGTGAAGGTCATGTAAAGAAACAGTGATAGAAAATTTGTTTACAAAACAGTATATGAAAGCTGACATTTATTTTATAAAAATGACTTTTTTCCTCAGATGCACAACAGGAACATATGCCATATTAAGTTGAGTGTGAAAGTCATGCTAATCGTGGCTGACTCTGGTAAAAGATTATTGTTTGGGTTACAGTATTATTTGTTCTAAGTCCCATTATAAAATATATTTTACTTTTCTTTGAAAATGTCAACTTCACATTAAAAAATTAGTTTCAGCTGACAGGCTAGACTTAAAACTGGTCAGAGAAAATATATCCACAGCCTTCCTGTGTCCAGGTACAGAAATGTCCCTCCAGTGCTCCATTAGAATAAGCTAGCTATGACTTCATGCTAGGGCAGGGTTTCCCGAAAGGTTAAAATGGGGATTGTTTTAAGGCCACTAGATAAAAATGTATCTGTTTCATTGTTTCATTTGGAACAGTTTGGCCAGAAGTCACATGTGGAGTGTGCTCGATTTTCTCCAGATGGTCAGTATTTGGTCACTGGGTCTGTTGATGGATTCATTGAAGTGTGGAACTTCACAACTGGAAAAATCAGGAAGGTAAAGTATTTAAAATATATTAACTTTTCTAGTGAAAGAATTACTATTGTTATTCTTAAATTGTTATTTATACACTTTATTTTACTTTATTTATTTTTTAAAATATATTTTTATTGATTTCAGAGAGAAAGGGAAAGGGAGAGAGAGATAGGAACATCAGTGATGAGGGAGAATCATTAATCAACTGCCTCCTGCATGCTCTACACTGGGAATCGAGCCCACAACCCGGGCCTGTGCCTTTGACCGGAACCGAACCTGGGACTCTTCAGTCCGCAGGCCGACGCTCTATCCACTGAGTCAAACCAGCTAAGGCTACATTTTATTTTTATTTTTTTAAATATATTTTTATTGAGAGTCATTGATTGTCTGCCTTCTGCACACCTCACACTGGGGATCGAGCCAGTAACCCAGACATGTGCCCTGACCAGGAATCAAACCATGACCTCCTGGTTCATAGGTTGACACTCAACCACTGAGCCATGCTGGCCGGGCTATTTATACACTTTAAACTTATTTTTGAATGGGTGATATGTACATCCGATAAAATATTTTATGAAATAGAAAAGCTGTTCAGTAAAAGGTCATGCTCCCACCCTTGGCCCTCAGCTGGTCAGTTCCTTTCCTTGGTCCAGCCAGGTTACCTGTTTCTTGTGTACCTTCCTGGAATATTCTAGGTATGTGTGTGTAAGCAGTTACTTTTTATGCCCAATCTAACCTAATTGTAGTACTAAATGTGCTTCTCTTATTATGAGTGAGAAAATGTCTTTTTATATGTGAAAAACCACTAATATTTCCTATTCTGTGAAGTGTGTTCATATCCTTTGCCTGTTTTGTTTTGTTTTTCCAGTTTATTTTTTGAAAATATTTTTGTTGATTTTTAGTCAGAGAGAAAGGGAGAGGGGGAGAGAGAGAGAGAAACATTGATGTGAGAGTGAAATATTGATCAGCTGCCTCCTTATACGCTCCTACCAGGGATTGAACCTGCAACCCGAGCATGTGCCCTAATTGGTAATTGAACCAGCAACCTTTTGGTTCATGGCATGATGCCCAACCAACTGATCCACACTGGCCAGGGCTGCCCATTTTTCTTTTGGATTGTAATTTAACTGATTTGTTGGAGCTTTTTATTTTTATTATTATTTTTTAAAATATATTTTTATTGATTTCAGAGAGGAAGGGAGTGGGAGACAGAAACATTAATGATGTGAGAGGATGGTTGATATGCTGCCTCTTGCACGCCTCCTACTGGGGATTGAGCCTGCAACCAGGACATGTGCCCTGACTGGGAATCTGACCTCTATCTTCTGGTTCATAGGTTGACACTCAATTCACTGAGCCACACTGGTCAGGCTGTTGGAGCTTTTTAAAGTTTGAGGGAATCAACCTTTGCAATCTGTACTGCAAATATTTTTCAGTTTTGACTTTTGTCTTGATTTTGCTTATGGTTTTGCTTTATAGACTTAAAATCTTTTATATCATCATATTTACCCATCTTTTCTTCCACAATTTCTTCTAATCTTTTTATGTTTCATTTATGTTCAATTTTTGATCCATCTGAAATTTCTTTAGTGAGATAAAGTTGGTGTAGATAAAATTGAATCATTTCCCCAAATAGCTATTTATTGACTTTACACTGATTTAAATTGTAATCTTTATCATAAGAGTACTGAATTCTACTTGGGTAGTGAAGTAATGAGTGATATTCACTTTCTACTTTATATGTATTTTTTATAGTTTGTCTTTTTTTAAAAAAAACAACACCATGAAGCAGTCTCAGTTTATAATTTTTTAAAAATAGAGATACTTCTGTTTGAACAATAATGGTTGATAAAATAAGCATCCATAAAATGGATGATAATTAAATATATTAGTCAGTACATGGTTTGAGGGAAAGGAGCTGACAATTTGGAAAAAACATTAGTTTCTCACATTATACCCCTAAGATAAATAAATTCAGATTTATTTAAGATGTACAATATGAAACTGTGCACCCATGGAGACAGACAACAGTGTGGTGAAGGCCAGGGGAGGGGTGGAGGTGGGCAAAGGTGAGGAATATGATGGGGGCATCTGTAATAATGTCAACAATAAAATAAATTGTAGGGAAATTCTGCTTAGAAAAGATTAGTAAGCATGCTCGCTTCAGTAGCACATATACTAAAATTGGATGATACCGAGAAGATTAGCGTGGCCCCTGCACAAGGATGACATGCAAATTCATAAAGTGTTCCATATTTTTTCATGTAATAAAAGTGTTTATTTAAAAGAAAAAAGATTAGTAAGCAAAAGATATAAGCTGTTATGTTGGCATTTTTTATAATGTTTGAATTGTGTAAAATTTATTCCCAGTATTAATCATTTGTTAGGAATTTGTGTGCATGCCACTATTTGCTTTGGAGATTTAGAGTATGTACAAGCCATTATCCTGATTTTAGTGAGTTTGTAGAGATCTGGGGTAATTGGGTTTTTCGTTGTTTTGATAACTGCTTATCATTGTTTCCTTTAGGATCTTAAGTACCAGGCCCAGGATAACTTTATGATGATGGATGATGCTGTTCTCTGCATGTGTTTCAGCAGAGATACAGAAATGTTAGCAACTGGGGCTCAAGATGGAAAAATCAAGGTATGGATAAGTGGCACAAACACTTGTATGCAGACATTCGGAGAGTTCTGTGACGAGGGAGTGTCCTACATATGATATGAGCTTGATAACAGCTACTGTTTGTTGAGCATCAATTTTGTGCTGATAATCAGTTTACTTTTTCTTGTTTAATCCTAATAACAACTCTGCCTAGTGAGTTCCAATAATTTGTTTAAGGTCACAGGTAGTGAGCAATAGGTCTGAGACTTCAATTCAAATCTGCTCATGCCCTTTCTGCTGTACCACCCTTGCTCACTTTATATGCTGTGTTGTACTTTGTGTGTTTTGTTTGTTTGTTTCTAGTGAATGGGATTTTTTTAAGGAATGGGGTAGTCTGCAGTTGATTAGCTGTGGCTTGTATTTAATTGCTGGTAAAATGCCCTGAGCTAGGTAAAATACAGAAGTAGTCTCTGCTAAGTGAACTTAGTCTAAATTTTTGTTTTAATAATTTACAAGGAAAGAGGTTTAACTTTCAAAGGATTCAGTTATCATTGTTCTGTGTAAATCAAACATCATATTCAGCTATTAGCATGCATTTTTAATGCTGTTTTAGTACATTAGTGAGCATTGCATCTTGCTTGGCTCTATGGACATTCTGTTTATAAGTTTTTACTATTCTTTTTTTTTAATAAAGGTCTGGAAAATTCAGAGTGGACAGTGTTTAAGGAGATTTGAAAGGGCACACAGTAAAGGTGTCACCTGTCTAAGCTTTTCTAAGGATAGCAGTCAGATCCTCAGTGCCTCTTTTGACCAGACAATTAGGTAAGTAAGAATCCCCACTGCCCTTACTTGGGTTTGATGTGATGAAGCTCTGAAGGGAAGTACTAGTGATTCCTTATACTTTCACCAGGATGGTATTATATAGAGAGTGGGGTATGTGAGATCTCATTTCCCCAGGCAGGGTACAGCTGACACAGTGCTATAATTTTGTCTACTTGAGTCATTACCCACCTGCATCAGAATCATGTTAGAGGGCATATTACAAAGACAGATTCCTGGGATCTAGCCAAGACCTAGAAGTCTGTCCCTGAACAGAAACCTGTGGTATTATTTGCATATTTTCTACCAATTTCTGTGCCAACCTTTGGTTTTATTTTTGTTTGATTGTTTGGCATAATGAAAATTGTACTGCATACGTAAATGCATAGCCCCGTTTCTTCACTTAATATTATAACAGGAGCTTCTTTAATTCATCTAAAATGCATTCAACACTTGGTCTCAACTGTAATATATAGAATATTAATTGTTCTTTTCATTTCCTTTTATGTATGATAGAATTCATGGTTTAAAATCTGGGAAGACGCTGAAGGAATTTCGTGGCCATTCTTCCTTTGTTAATGAAGCAACATTTACACAAGATGGACATTATATTATTAGTGCGTCCTCTGATGGCACTGTAAAGGTTAAGTATTTGCTACTGGATTATTTGGGGGTATCCATTCCATTTTTGCCCTTTAAGGAGTTTTCAGTGGTGGTAATGGTGATAATTGTGGTGGAGTAAACCTCTTTACTAGCTATTTTAGTTATAATTGAGGTGAGTCTGAGACAGTAATAATATTCTGTGGGTAATTCCTATTGGCCTAGGAACCTCAAATCTCAAATCTACAAAATCAGACTTTAGCATGTGTAGGAAAAGAGGAAACGTGTGGAGTCTTAGGTTTAAGTCATCCCCCATTTACAGTGTTTAAATTTGATCTTGTCATAGGTATGGTCTACCCACCAAAAATTCACAAAGGGCTCAGTGGCCAAATAAATAGCTATCTTTTTTGTTGCTCAGCCTCATCCCACCCCTGACACCCACATTTAGGGCCTTCTACTAGAGAAACAGAAGAGGTATAGAGTTAAAACCAAGCCCTCTCTCAGATACTTATTTAATGCCCTCAGCTGAAAGTAACAGATCTTCAGTATCTTAAGATTTATTTTAAGAGAGGGTCTCATTTTCTAGAAAAGATGAGAAGTCCAAGTAGTAAATTGCTGAGGATCTTGAGACATTCCATTTACATTCTAGAGCTGCTTTTAAATTGCCTTAGGCAAGTCTTTTTTAATTTTTTTTTTATTTCATAGAGGAAGGGAGAAGGAGAGAGGTAGAAACATCAATGATGAGAGAGAATCATTGATTGGCTGCCTCCTGTACACCCCCCACTGGGGATGGCGCCCGCAACCCAGGCATGTGCCCTTGACTAGAATCGAACCTGGGACCCCTCAGTCCGCAGGCCAACACTCTATCCACTGACCCAAACCAGCTAGGGCTGCCTTATGCAAGTCTTGTAGCAAAAGACCTCACATTTAACACA